CCCTCCGCAATAGTTTGCCAAGGTGGACAAATTCAAATTTACTTTAGCTCACAAAGAGCCAAATGCCTAGTCGAAAATATCACTAGGATCCATTCTCAAACAATCTCTTGCCAGTAAGGACGTGGTACGTGTCCTCTAACCGGCAATTTCATCGCCAAATGGCACTGCAGGTAAACGGTTATGACCCGGGGCCCTCTGAACCGAGTGGTTTTGCCGCCAAATGGCACCACAAAAAACCGGTTATGGCCAGCGCTGTTACGTTCCTTATTGACATCAAATCCTTGAGATATGAATCAATAGGATATGATCGATAGGGCACAAAGCCCTCTGTCAGCTAAGGTGGATTCAAATTTGTCCCCTTAGACAAACATTCAACCCCGGTCTACAAGGTCCCCTTGGACGAAGCAACCCATAGCTGCCGACAAGAATCCTTCTGTCAGGTTGGGTCGACTACCTCCTCTGACTAAGTAGACCAGGGGACCACGATGGCCCGGGACGACGGAACCATGGGATCTTGATCAGGTCTATCATCCATTCCCCCACCATCCGCTTTAAGTGCTAGGTGGTGAAATTTCCTATTTTAAATATCAAACTTTTCAAACATTTCAAAATATCCAAATCCAAACTCAATTTCTAAATCCAAACTCATTGCTGCTACTATATGCCAAATAACACGTATTCTATACATATCTGATTGACGACTAGCCTTAATCAAAAGTTCTCTCTCTTGATCAGGAGGGGTAATTAACTATAGGGGCTTGCGCCTATAGGAAACCAGAACTCAGATCATAAAGTCTTCTCAAAATGAGGGCGAAATCTCTAAGTAGCGTCTTATCTACAAACCCATCTGCCTTCCAAAATTTATCTCGGAACTTAGTTCGTTAAAACTCCCTCGCCGAATAAAAAGAAAAGACGAGCGGGGAGGCCGGGGCCGAATTTTCGGAGCCCACATCAAAATACATCGAGACCCAATGTATTCGGGTGATGTGGCACGTCTGAATTAGATGTAGTAAATAAATTCTTATTTTTTCTATTAATATTTTAAGGTGGTTTATAGTCTGAAGTTCTAGTAACTCTAGATAAATAATCTGCTAAAAAATTATTATCGTCTTTAATGTGTTCAAAGTTTACTTTGTATCCATTTCTTCTATTGTTGTAATAAAATTTACCCATCTTTTACTATATATTAGTTTCATATAAATTTTTAACAGTAGCCAAATTGCATCTACATACATTAGCCAAAAAATTTTTGCTAAGCAAATACTTATTAGTGAATTATAATAAATATTAGCCTCTAATTAAAACATATGATGAGATTAAGCAGTATACTCATCTCATATAGAAAAAGAATAATTTAGACAAAATAATTCGCCCTTAACCAAACAATGTTCATCAAACTCTAATGGGCGGTCTGAGTCGAGTTCGAGCATCTCATGGCTTCCACCCTTCACGTTCTCACTCAAATTCCTTCCCATTCACTCAAACCCTCCCCTACTTCCCGTCAAAACCCTTCACCGCCGGCGAAGCACTCTCACCTCAAGCCAATCAAGAAACATCTAACCCGCCTCGCCGATTACAGCCGATGCGACGAGGATCGCTCCATTCTTGACACCACCACGGAGCTCGACGCGCCTGTCGAACTTCGGACCTACTCTGCTCTCCTTCGCTCCTGCATCCGCTCACGTGACCTCCATCATGGCCGCCTCATCCACCGCCGCCTCGTCCTCTCCGGCCTCCCCTTCGACTCCGTCATTTCCAACTCCCTCATCACCCTCTACTCCAAGTGCGGCGACTGGGACTCTGCTCTCTCCGTCTTCAATCAAATGGGCGAAGAACGAGATGTCGTCTCCTGGACCGCCATGATCTCTGCTGCAACGGAGAACAAGATGCAGGGCAGGGCGCTATCCATATTTCTCGAGATGCTCGACTTAGGATTGATTCCTAACGAGTTCACTATTTCAAGTGTGCTACACGCTTGTTCGAACCCGGATTTCAGTAAAATTGGGATTTTGCTTCTTGGTTCTGCAATAAAAACTGGATTTTGCAAGCGAAATGCATCTGTTGCCGGCGCTTTGATCGATATGTTTGCGAAGATTGGTGACCTGGCTTCTGCTCGCAGGGTGTTCGATGAATTACTTGAGAAAAATAAGGTTGTTTGGACGTTGATGATTACTAGGTATGCACAGCATGGGCTTTGCCTGGATGCTGTGAAACTGTTTGTGGAATTTGTTTTTGATGATTTTGTCCCGGATCAATACAGCTTATCTAGTGTCATCTCGGCGTGTTCTGAATTGGAATCACTTCTACTTGGGAAACAGCTCCATTCTCTAGCCATCCGAATTGGATTTGTTTCTGACGTTTGTGTAGGCTGTAGCCTGATCAACATGTATGCAAAATGTGTGGAAGGAGGCGCCATGGTTGATTCGAGGAAGGTCTTCGACCGGATGCCTCAGCATAATGTGATGTCATGGACTGCCATCATCTCTGGTTATGTTCAGGGTGACAGAAATGATGAACACGCTTTGAGCTTGTTCCTGAAGATGTTAGAGGGAAAGATCAAGCCCAACCATTTCACATATTCTAGCATTCTCAAGGCATGTGCCAATCTATCCAATGCTGAGCTAGGAAAACAAGTCTATGCCCATGTAATCAAATCTGGCCTTGCTTTTGTCAACTTTGTTGGTAACTCTTTGGTCACCATGTTCGCCAACTCTGGTAGGATGGAAGATGCTTGCAAAGCTTTTGAAGTGCTGTATGAAAAGAATTTGGTATCATACAATGCCCTTGTTGATGGGTATGTAAAGAATTCAAACTCTGAAGAGGCTTTTGATATCTTCCAACAAATTGAAAGCATGAATTTGGGAGCAAACGCCTTCACATTTGCAAGCCTTTTAAGTTCTGCTGCAAGCATTGGAGTGATGAGTAAGGGCCAGAAGCTTCATGGTCAGTTGCTAAAAATGGGTTATGAGTCTGATATTTGCATCAACAATGCTCTTATATCTATGTATTCAAGGTGTGGAAATACTGAGGATGCTTGCAGTGTCTTTGATGAAATGAGATACCGTAATGTTATCTCATGGACTTCAATGATAACTGGTTTTGCAAAACATGGGGAAGCACACTGTGCTCTTCAACTCTTCCATGAAATGCTTTCTACAGGCCTAAGGCCAAATGAAGTTACCTATGTAGCAGTGCTGTCTGCTTGCAGTCATGTTGGTCTTGTAAGAGAAGGTCTGAAAATTTTTCATTCCATGCAGAGAGATCATGGACTGGTTCCTAGAATGGAGCACTATGCTTGCATGGTTGATTTGCTGGGCCGGTCAGGCCGTGTCGAGGAAGCATTCGAGTTCATAACTTCAATGCCCTTAAAGGCTGATGTTCTGGTGTGGAAGACTCTGCTTGGTGCTTGTAGATTGCATCAGAATGTTAGACTCGGGGAGACTTCAACCAAGAACATTGTAGAACTGGATCCTAGTGATCCAGCAGCTTATATTTTGCTTTCAAACTTGTATGCTGTAGCAGGTCAGTGGCAAGAGGTGGCAAAGATGAGGAGAGGACTGAAGGAGATGAAACTACGCAAAGAAGCTGGAATGAGTTGGATAGAAGTAGGAAAAATAATTCATAAATTCCATGTGGCAGATACCAGTCATCCACAAGCTCAAGAAATATTCAAGAAATTGGATGAACTGGTGGATGAAATTAAAATAATGGGTTATGTTCCAGATATAGATTGTGTTCTTCATGATGTGGAGGAAGATGTCAAAGAGAAGTATTTGTTGCAGCATAGTGAGAAGATTGCAGTGGCATTTGGTCTTCTTTCCACTAAATCTCCAAGGCCAATTCGAGTGTTCAAAAATCTGCGAGTATGTGGAGATTGTCACACGGCAATTAAATTCATATCGATGAAAACAAGCAGAGAAATAATTCTAAGGGATTCTAATCGGTTTCATAGGTTCAGAAATGGAGAATGTTCTTGCGGGGGCTATTGGTGAATAGAAGCTATCCATCTGGAAGGCAGGTTACTATACAAAGCAATTTATTTGTACATATCAATAAACCTTGAGGTTTTTTTTTTTTTAATAAGATTCATCTATTAACAGAAAAGAAAAATGAAAAGAAAGGTCCAAAAGAGGCCAATGAAAGAAAAACATCATATTACAAGGCAACCTGAAAAAATAGTAAGACTAAAATAGAATTAAGAAGGCCATGAAGCCAGTCGAACTCAACAGTGCCACTCAGTTGCCATGCAAGACCCGAGGTGGGATTTTGTTATGCTAGAGCTAGTGGGCTACCGAGGTAGGATTTTATTTTCAAAGTATTATTTTGCCATAGCAAGTGGGATGCTAAGGTGGGATTCTATTACTGAAGTGTTGTTATGCCGGAGCTAGTGGGATACCACGGTGGGATTCTATTATGATGTATTAGCTTATAATTCAATTAATTTTAATAATTATTTAAATGCCTTCAGATTCAGTATATGCTTCAATTTTAACTTTCTAAAGAATACTTCAGTTTATTATTATAGCATAGTATTTTTTATTTTATTTTGGTTTTAGTAATTGATTTTTTTTATAGGTTATGATAGCCTACTAAGTGATATTAGCTCATTCCTACTTCTACTTTAATTTTCAGGCCATGGGGAAGGTAAGACGTAAGCTTAGTAGTTTGGATAGTATGCTCTAATCTATATTGTAGGTATATTTTGGTTAGTTAGTTTTAATTTTTTATAGGCTTGACTTTTATTTTATTAGTCTCTCTATTGTTAAGAATTGTTCTAGATAAACTTCATATTGTATATATTTTGGATGATATATAAAATAAAAATTATTATTAGATTCAATGGTCTCTTGCTTATATTGCATTAACAATAGCTTTATGTAGTATATACATTAGAAGATTAATTTTAGTACTTCTCCAACTAGATATTGGGGTTATTCTTACCACAATCAAACACAAATTGACCTGTGTGGTATCTGATTGTGTTATTACAAGTTTTTTGGTATTAGATCAAAGTTGGAGAAGTAAATCATAACTTATTCATATGATTTAATTTATAAAAGAGTGAGATGGTTCTCGGTAGTTTTAGGTGGTCATTTTATTTATTTATTTATCATATGCATGTATTGCATTGAACTATATTTGATATTTAGAGATGGTTGATCCACCTCAACTAGATCAAGATATGACCAATAGCTAGAGGTATAGTTAGGCAGCCCAGGTTCAGGGTATAGCTCCTGTGATCAATTCTGAGGTAGTTTCTCAGATTATTGGTTTGATATTGCAATTGATATGTTAGGCTCATACTCAAGTTTTTGGTACCTGATTTGATGATACATATAGATATTTATAGAATTTTATAAGATTATAACATTCTAAATAATCAAGTGTTATTGAGCCTAGAGTAGCTTAGATTGGATGATGAGGATATAGAAAACTCTAAATGAGATGCATTATCCTCCTGACAGGAGAGTTACACATGCTTTTCGATTAGAAGGAGAGGCAGAACGTCAGTGGCTTAGTTAGCTGAGAGAGAAGTTTCGATGTCATGCAAATATTCTAATTGTTTGGGAGGAGTTTATAAAGACATTCAATATTTGGTTTGTACCCCCATTTGCTAGGAGATAGAGTTCATTGCTCTCTCAAGATATGCACCACAGTTGATTAGCACGTTAGAGTAAAAGTGTTACCAATTTTTGGAGTGACTTTGAAATACTTTGAGGTAGCCACTATTGGTGCAGGATATTACAGATTTTGCTCAATTAGTCGAGAGTGCTAAAAGGATAGAGACTAATATGGTAGCGGTGCAGTAATAATGAAATGTGAGTAGGAAAAGATTTGGTGGTGAGATAACTAGAAGTAGCCATTTTGGGAAGAAGAGCAAATTTGGACATGCTGAGTTTAGAAGAAGGCAATAGTTAGTAATGATTCCTTCTAGATCTGAAGGAGGTAGTGTTTTCAATTCTTGGGGTTCAATCAGTGGGGCCTCATAATATCAACAATGTGGCAGAAGGCCTAATGGACAGTGTTATAGATCATTGGGTTAATGTTTTCATTGTGGTCAGTATGGACAAAGGTTTGCTAAGAATCCATCGGGTGATTTTGACAGACATTTTAATTTGAAAGATAATAATTATGGGTAGTTGACAGCGGGAAGGCAAGGGACAATACCACCTCAATCATATTATGAGGATTCTAGTAGATGAGATATTGGTTCGATATCACGAGGTCAACTTTCTAGGGGTTCATGGGAGCAGATAGTTCTATTGTTTTGACTCTAATACAATCATGAGTTTATAAACAAACGTAGCAAGAGGCTAGAGAGTCTTCTAATGTGGTGACAAGTACATCTTATATTTTTGCATCTTTTTATAATATTTTATTTTATTCTAGCGCAAGCTACTCTTTTATATCAAAACATTATTTTGATTCTCTTGATTTGCCTTACATATTATTACCTATTTTTTTCCTATTATTTTACCTAAGTGAGATAGAATTGTAGCTAGCAGGGTTTATTTTTTGATTTAAAGTTTTATGATAGAATTGTGAGATCTGGTTTGATTCCATTACCTATTTTGGCATGTGATGTTATTTTAGGTACGGACCAGATGAGTCGATATGGAGCTCAAATTGATTACTAAAAAAATTAACTTTATATCAGAATGGTGAGGGCTATTTATTTCAGGGAATAAGGGATATTCTTTCTTGTCTAATTTTTATTTAGAAGTGGATAAGCTTTGGTGGAAAGATAACCTAGTATTTTTAGCATTTGTTAAAGATGTGAAACTCTCTTTTACATATGTGAGTAGTGTCTCGATAGTTTAAAAGTTTCCAGATGTCTTCTGTGAGGAGTTAGTGACTTTACCGCCAAACAAAGAGGTAGAGTTTTGTATTGATATTGTTTTGGTATTGCTTTGATATTTAAGACTTTATATTGAATGTTGCATAAGTAACTTCAAGAGTTAAAGGTGCAACTTCAAGAGTTGGTGTATTGAGGCTTTGTCCGTCTCAGTGTGTCTATATAAGGAGAACCTATGTTATTTGTTAAAAAAAAAGGATTGTACCTTATGGATGTGCATATACTACAGAGATCTAAATAATGTAACTACCAAACAAAAGTATCATTTGCCTATGATTGGTGACTTTTTTTATTAGCTGGATGGATGTTCAATATTTTTTAAGATCGATCTACAATCTGGTTATCATTAATTGAAGGTGAGTGATGAGGATGTCGTGAAGACTACATTTAGTATGAGGTATGGGCATTATGAGTTTTTAGTCATTCTATTCAGAGTGACTAATGCCCTAGTGGTCTTCATAGATTTGATGATCATAGTTTTTAGGAAATATTTAGAACAGTTTGTGATCATCTCTATAGATGATATTCTGATTTATTCTAGATCTAAGGAGGAGCATGTAGTATACTTGAGGACTATTGTCGAGATTATGAGGCAACATCAATTATGTGCTAAGTTCTAAGAGTAAGTTTTGATTGAGTAACATTTCATTATTGAGAAATTTTATGAGTATTTAAATCATTTTAATAAATCCTTATAAAATTCAAGTTGTTTTTGATTGGCAAAAGCCTAGTGTAGTTTCTAATGTTCATAGTTTCTTATGCTTGACTAGTTATTATTGGAAGTTTGTTTAGGGGTTTTCTTGAATTTCTTCGCCTTTGATGAGACTGACTCAAAAGTCAATAGCATTCATATAGACTCTAGAGTGTGAGGAGAGTTTTTAGTTGCTAAAGGATCATTTGACTTATGCTCCTTTTCTGAACATTCCTTTATATACGAAGACATTTTAGGTTTTTAGTGATGCATCATTGAGAGGCTTAGGATGTATATTGATATAGGACATTAGAGTTATTATATATGCATATTGATAGTTAAAACTACATGAGAGATACTACTCGACACATGATATGAAGTTTGCTGGTGTTGTATTTACATTAACGATTTAGAGGCATTACTTCTACAGAGTCAGATGTAAGATCATTACTGATCTTAAGAGTTTTTAAGTACATCTAGACTCAAAAGAATCTAAATTTGAGGCAAAGAATATGATTAGAGCTGATCAGAGAATATGATTTGTGAATTTAGTATCAACCTAGTAAGATGGATGTGATAGTAAATGCTTTGAGTAGAAAGTCATCATGTACTTCTCTTTTACTGCTTACTTTAATAGACATTCTTATTTACGATTTGGAGAAGCTTGAGGTAAAGGTGGTATTCATTGATATATATCTGAGTTTGTTAGCTCAAATGATTATTTAGCCTACTCTACCAGAAAGAATACAAGAATCTCAAAAGTCAGACATAGAATATTTGAAGTTCAGTTATTATATTAAGACTGGTAAGAGGCCTAATCTCTCTTTATCTGATTATGGTATCATTTTCTATAAAGGTATATTATAGGTTCCATCAGTTGGTGATCTAAGAGTTGAGATCCTATATGAGGTATATTATTCATGTTACACTATTCATTCAGGAAGAAATAAGATGTATAGAGATTTGAAAGATATCTTTTGATGACTTAGATTGAAGAAGGATATATGACATCATCAATGACCAGGTGATCTTTCACAATCATTACCTATCCCTGAGTGAAAATGGGAGGAGGTGACAATGAATTTCGTTATGGGTTTTCCTAGATCGTGGCAGCGATATGAAGCCATTTAGGTTATCATCGATAAACTGACAAGTCTATGTTTTTCTTTTAGATCTAATAGACTAATCTGGTAGACAAGTTGGCATAGATCGGCACAAATTACATGGTGTGCTAAAGGTGATTATTTCCGATCATGATGATCGGTTTATCTCCAAGTTGTGGAGAGATATTTAGTAGGGATTGGGTACAAAATTGCACTTTAGTATTGCTTTTCATTCACATACAAATGGATAGTCTAAAAGGACTGTTTAAGTACTGGAGGGTCTTTTTAGACTATTGGGATGATAATATCCCACTAATAGAGTTTGCATATAACAGTAGTTATTAATCTAATATTGGCATGGCTCCTTATGAAAACCTATACATAAAAAGTGTAGGACCTCTTTATCTTTTACAGAGGTAGGTGACAGATAGCTGGTATGATCAACATTTATGGATTACACTACAATAAAGATTCATCTAATAATATAAAGGTTGAGAACTGCACAGGATAAGCAGAAAAAATATTATGATAAAAAATACAAGCAAGTTGAGTTTCATATTATTGACTTTATTTATGCCAAAGTCAATCTTATGAAAGGTGTCAGAAAATTTGGAAGAATTAGCAAATTGAGTATAAGATATATTAGACCTTTTAAGATCATTGAGAGGATTGATAGTTATACTTACAAATAATTGTTATATGATCATATGTTAGATATACACAGTGTATTCCATGTCTTCTCTGAGGAACTAGGAATTTGATTATGGTAAGAGATTATCTACTGATGATGTAGAGGTTCGTCCGAGTTTGCACTATAGGAAAC